CTTCGGAGCTAGGAAATTATGCAGAGTAGAGTGGAACTTCCAATGAGGTGGAGGTTCTACAGTATGCTAGAGTACTTCTGCAGGTAAGAACAGTAGAACTTTTCAGCTGTCTATCTATTCTATTCATTACATATATCTTTAATGAATATATTGTAAACTCGTGCAGCGTGCTACCACTGATCCTGATGGCCGTAAGAGGGCCCTTCTTATCGGAGAAGGTATTGCTAACTTGACCGATGTTGCTGCTACATTTAGCTGCTACATTTTGTTTCTGAAAGTGTTATTGACTTATTGTACATTTGTGCTGCCTCTTTATGCCATCGTACATGTCTTTCTATTATTTAGTTCATTGCGATGCCCTATTTATATTATATCCATTTGTTTCTATGGAGTAATTTTATAACTGTTAGATACATACCTAATATAAAGGAATCATTTAGCATTAGCCATTGTCAAATCCATGTTGATATCTTGGGGTTTGAATGTGGATATATATGTTGGCTTAGAAGGTCCCAGTGCATTACAAGTGCTAATATCCACCCAATGCGCATCATGTAGTTAGTGCATTACAAGTGCTAATATCCACCCAGTGCACATGATTTAATTAGTCACCAGGGATCCTTGGAGGCAAATAGTTATAGGGGAAAAACAATGTTATGGTGTACATCAGATTTCACTATTATGTCTAATACTTGGATATATCGTGTATTGGCGTTTTATTGTGCATCCTCAGTTGATGAATCCACCTAGGGTTAACATGGTTAAACAGAATGCGAACTGCACAATTTTCATCTGATTCTATAATATGCTCTCTGTCATTTTTGATAACTAATTCTGTACTCTGCTCTCTACCTGTCATGTTTGATAACTGCATCTCTGACAACCTTTTCAATTTACAGGTCAATTCAACTATTCACCAGTGTCCAAAGTTCAACATCAAGGGACCATGCCAGTTGCCATTGTGATGATCAGCTGTGTTTTCGAAAATCGCATGGCCGCAGACTGCAAACTTTGTAGTTTGTCATTCTTTTGCTGTGATATGCGGCACCGTAGGTGTTGACAACGTAGTGACAGTGACAATGACCGTATATAAATTAAACCAATGTTTCTGACCAGCTCTTAGTATTACCATTTAATTTATAAAACCATCTCAATGGTGGACTATAACTTTTGTTTTTGAAGTCAGTGGGCGCCTGATGTTCTAGTAGTATTTATGAGGTGTACTTTGAATTATTATTATAGTATTCATGTGATGTTCCATGATAGCTTTTTAGTATTTTGTAGATATTCTATGATGTATTTTGAATTTTGCTCATAATCTTCATGTTCCATACGTGGTATATTTTTGCAATGTTTTTATAGTATCCATGAGATGTTTCATGGTGTATCATGTGTACCTGTCCCTGTATTGAGATGTCCTAAATATTCAGTTCGTTCAGCTGGCTGTAGCTGTAGCTGCGGCTGCCTACTTTCTTGCCTACCTCAACAGTGTTTGCTAGTCACTGTTTGCAGCAGCGGCAGCCAGTCTTCCGAACGGAGTGATTGTCCTTGATCGAAGTCTCGGACAATTGGTCGACAAAATGGAAAGCGAAGGTTTAATGGTGGAGGTTTTTTTTTTTTTTTGAAACTGGGTATAGCTTCGTTACTCGGCTAGCAAACCGTTAGCAACAATTACATGGATAACTTTAGGGATGGAACTAGTGACTTGCTCCTCTCCCTGAATAAATAAATCGTTAGCAACAATTACATGGATAACTTCAGGGATGGAACTAGTGACTTGCTCCTCTCCCTGAATATACAAATGACCCAACTTGGCCAGCTCGTGAGCGGTTCTATTACATTCTTGAACTTTAAACACACTCAAAATTAATGAAACAACCAGCAGCTAATGCTTTAATTTCAGCAATCAACACTCCCACTGCCGTATCATCAAAAGCTTTTGCAATATGGAATATACCGTCCTCTTCATTCCTGTAGGACGCTATTATAGTGCCCAGATTACAATAGATGGACCCAAAATGCCCTACTCTAAAACTAAATTCTAAACATATTCCTAACACATAGGGGTATTTTGGTCCTTTTGTAATATACCAGTACAAGGATCCAAGTCAGATTTGACTTCCTATGTCGACAACCCTTCGTTGTACGACTTCGAGCCTTGCGCTGCTCCTCACACCTCCGACACCCCGGTGTCCTTGGACTTCCCGAAATGTCCTTTGTGGCGCCCTCTAGGTCTCCGAATGTATCCTTACTGCTCTGGGAATGACCCCGCCGGGTTCGCAGCGACACTTTTGCGCTCATCCTTTCGAGGACCCCGCGAGGGTATCTCCACTAAGGGTCATCACCCACCAAACGGTACCTACAAAGATATAACACTTTGAGAAGCCACCAACGTGAATATTTAAGTTATTAGTTAGAGAGACGTGAGAAAAGGGAACCCTGCAAATGGTACCAGTCCCCAATATTATTCAAGCAAACCAAGCCACTATTGAGACAGACCATGCCATTTCTCTGTCTTATTTTGCTTTATCAATTTGCTTGCCTTTTCATTTGAGATATGGCATGAGTTTGATAGTGATTATTTGCAATGAAACCTATTCAAAGCTCATCACACTCATTAGTATTTTAATTTTTTATCATTCAATCACCAAATCCTACTAGAGGGCCTATATGCAATTTATAAGCTGGTTAGGGACAAAGTAAATGAAAACAGAAGCTTGACGGCATGTTTTTCTGTAGCTTTATTTTTATTGTGTCTCTCCCCGCTGCCACCATGGCCCCATGTATATACTAACCAGCTTCCATACAAGACCATAGAGGTGAGCTTAGGAGCCATTTGAAATAGAACCTTGGAATACAGACGGTACAAGTAGAACCATATCTAGATGAAAAGATATAACCGTTGAAAAAAATAACATTTGAAGCGTAGCTCTTGACCATAATATCTTTTACATGTAAAATGGCTAATTTGTTAGCTAGTATAAGATATAAATAAATAAAGGTTAGTGAAAGTAGAGAAGCAAAAATGAGGGATTGGATAGAGTGTACAAATGAAGTGGTGGCCAGAATCTCGAAAAGGAAGCCTTACTTAGAGTTAGAGGTACAAGGCATCAATATTCAATATTTGAATGGTCTCTTAGAATTATTGCGCTTGTAGTACTCCATTTCTCGCTGTTTTCCTGTGTAATACGGAATTATTGTTTGCTTAATCTAGATCTTCTTGTGTTACTCCCTCTGCCCCCCTAAAAAACGAAATCCTATGTTTCAAAATTTGTCTAAAAAAGAATGTAAACATAGTATTTGCACTAGATTTTTTTTATGGGAACTATCTGTCAAGAAATATAAACACCAGATGCACCCATCGCCCAACATCCCTATCCATCCATATCCATGGTCATTCTCATCTACACACCTCCGGCTGTTTGCCTGACGAGTAAAATAGATATTTTGAACTTATGTGAAACCATCCGGATGCAACTATTGCTTCTGTGAACCAGCATGTTGGAAGGGCATATGCTTAATTTTTACCTTCACACTAATCTTACCTCAATACTTGAGATTTAAATATTTTGTGGGAGAGAGAAAGTATTAATATTGACAGCTCTCCTGTCCCTTTTAAAAAAATAAATAAAAAAATAGTACTCCATTTACAAGTTTTTCATTTCCTAGCTGTCACGCTATTGTGTGAATGGGTCGTTCTCTGCGGTATAGACGCGTACGTACACGTTACTTTCCGTTTCTTTCGTGGAGCGCCTGCGGACAACGTGAATCGAGAGAGACATCTCTGTTTTTCTGCGTCTTCCTTCCGGTTTCAGCCACTCGCACTTTCGGGGTTGCCCCAAAGCGCCGTCGACTTCCTTCCAGCCGCCAGCTCCCCAGCCCATGTTTTTCTGTAGCCTTCGCACGTCCGTGTCGAAACTCGAAACAGCCACATGTGTAATCTAAATATCGGGGACAGAATCTGCTTGCTGCACGTAAAACGTAAATGCCCTGTTTGCTTGGCTGAAAATACTATTGACTGATTTGTTGTGAGAGAAAAATATCGTTCGTTGGCTGAAAAAGTACGACTTATAAACCAAGCGAACGCGGCGAAAAACCCTGACACAGTGCAGGACTTCGACAGCTTCACTGCATCAAAACTGTCAACACGACAATGCCAAACCGAGATTGACTGAAGACGGATCTCAGATTCAGATACACAATAAGCTGTGTTGTTCTGACTGGCTTAGCTGTGCTAAGCAATTTCCGTCATTCACAGGTGAAGCCACAACCTGGACAGCCTCTGATGATGATTACTCAACTGCAACTCTTGACAGTATTCCGAATCCTCATCTAGTACATCCCTAAACAAGAAATACCAGAACCAATCTTCTAATGGATTGTAACTATAGGCAAACTAGTTCTCTATGTCAGTTTGGAATACAAAATACTATGAAAAAGACGTCAACTGCGAACTTACCGATTACAAAGTAACTAATCAGGAACAACTCAAGACACACTCATGAACAGTTCATTTATCTGGGAGTAGCTCTGTTCGTACCACAGGAATTACAGCCCTAGTGATTTCAATCATTTACAAAACGAATCATCTCTAGTCTTCGTCAAGATGAAACCAAGCAGGAAACATTGTAATATATGGACTCACTCTGCTAATGGAACTAAGCAATAAACCGAAAGTTTAACCAATCCTTTCAAAGCCGTCACAAACTTCTTATTTCTCAAGAATTTTGAATGAAGAGCTCAACATGAACATTGTGAATCAAGAGCATCTGAAGATAGATGCATCAACAGTTTAAGTTATCATCAGAAGAGCAGCTCTGTTGTTTATAATTGGTATAGTACTCTGAAGATAGATGCCTCAACATGAAACTACCCAATGAACGTTACAATCTCTGCCGAATAATTATTGAAGAACCGGAATTTTTGACAGGTAGAATAGTACACTGATGTTTATATACATCACAAAACAAGAAACCATAGAATAGAATAGCAAAGTAGCTCTAGTTCAAATGAGACCTCCTAGGCGCAAGGCGCGGGCGTAGCGGCTTCTTCATGACGACAGTGAACTCGTTCTTCTCGGCGAAGTCCACCTCGTAGCCGGGCACCTCTTTCCACTCGTACTCCAGCACCATATTGGCAACGAAGTACTCCAGGTGCAGCATGGCGATGCCAAGCCCCGCGCAGATCCTCCGGCCCACGCCGAACGGCATCATCCTGATCCCCTTGGTGCCCGTCACGTCTACGCCCTCGCCATCGCCGCCGGGAAGGAACCGCTCTGGCGAGAACTCCATCGGGTTCTTCCATTCCTGCTCGTCCCGGCTCATCTCGGCCACCATGAAGTTCACCGTTGTGCCCATGGGGATCAGGTAGCCGCCGATTTCCATGTCCTCCGCCGCCTTGTGCGGCAGCACGAAGTGGGCCGGCGGGTGCTTCCGGAGGGCCTCGAGGATCACCGCCTTGAGGTATGGCATCTTGTGGACATCCTCCTCTGAGACCCCTTCCATGTCGTCGTCGATGGCGGCCTTGACCTCGTTGTAGAGCTTCTCCTGGATGGCTGGGTTTTTTACAAGCTCGGCCATGATCCACTGCAGCCCTGTGGACGTGGTGTCCGTACCGGCGTCGAGGAACTCGGAACATAGGATGCAAATCTCGTCGTCGGTGAGCGGGCGATCGCCGTCCTCGTGAAGCTTGATGTCGAGCAGCGTGTCCACGTACGAGTGCTCGAACGTGGTTTCCCCTTTCGGCTCGCCTGCCCGCTTCTTGTACTCCCGACGCGCGTTGATAAGCGGAAGAAAGAGCTCCTTGACGCGCCGCCGCAGCTCCCGTGCTTTATCGAGCCGAGCGCGGAAGAGGTGCTTGGTGACAGCCGGGAAGAAGGCGAAGACCTGCATGTTCTTGGAGCGGTAGATGAGTCCCTCCCGCTGCGCAGAAGCGATCGCGCGCACCGCGGGCTCGTCGAGGCGCTCGCCGAAGCACATGAGCACGAGGAGGCAGAACATGGCGTACTGGAACGTCTCCACGACGCGGGGCGGCGCGGCGTCGGGCCCGGGCTCCGCGAGCTTCTCGACGAGCACGCGGCGCACCCACGCGCGCGCCGGTGCGAAGAGCTTCACCCGCGACGGGTGCAGCGTCTCGGCAACGAGGTTGCGGCGCAGGAGGCGCCACACGGGCCCGTAGCTGGCGCGGGTGATGCTGTTCTCGTTCTCGCCGAGGAACCTGACCGACGCGAGCGCCGGGCGGTCCGCCAGCGCCGCGCCGCGGTCGACGAGCGCCTCGTGCGCGATGCGGCGGTCCGCGACGAAGACGGAGAAGCGCGCCCCGATGCGGAGCGCCACGACGGGGCCGTACCGCTCGAAGAGGCGCCGCAGCAGGGGTTCGATCTGGGCGGGCGAGTTGGTGAGCCAGACCACGCTGCCGAGCAAAGGCAGCGACGGCGGGCCCGGGGGGAGGCGGCGCCTGCCCCGCGCGCGGAGCAGGAGCAGGAGCGCGGCCGGGAGGAGGAGGAGGAGCGCGCCAAGGAAGAGTCGCGTGGCGTCCATTGGTCGGTTCGGTTGCGTCGCGTCCATTGGTCTGATTCGGATCAGAGTGTACCGGCGGCCGGCGATGGAGACGGGGGTGGGTGGATGTGGATGGAGGCGGATAGGAGGTGTCGATTTATACGGGAATTGGGGAGTGTTCCACGTGGAGGGTCATTGCGAGAGACGCGGTGCTTGGGGTTTGGGAGGGACTAGTCAGCGAAGAGATCGGAACGGCAACGGATTCTCATTTCTTCATCAGCAAGTTGCAAGTACAGAATTGGGGGCCGGCCATTTGGATCAAGCATCGCTGACGTCAGGAGTGATGGATTCACTGGTAGAAGGTTCCATAGCTGATTAGCTGTTCAATTGTTCGATGGATCGTCAGTTCATTTTTTGAATATATATATGAATGAATGTCAACAGTCAACACGTTTAATAAAATTCATTCAAGCATCGCCTTCACGCCGTGTGTGTGGACTTTCGTGGCAATTGTCATGAATACTACTAGCATGATACACGGGCTTCGCCAGTTGAGTACTCCCTTTTCCCGTAAAAAAAGTCATTATAGTCCTATGAAGTTAAATATTTTTAATTTTAATCAAATATATAACAAAATATTAGTATTTATGGTACATAATTGATATTATTAGATATGTCTTTGATTATATTTTTATAATAAATTTATTTCAAAATACAAATATTGCTGATATTTTCTACAAATCTAGTCAAGCTTAACAAAGTTTAACTAGCCTTCTAACAACTTTTTTTATGGGATGGAGGGAGTATTGTATGACGGTGACAGGTCGGTTACGATTGCAAGTGAGCACCCGTGGTGGTGACCGGTGAGCCATCCTATAGAAACGGATATGAACAAAACAATATAGTTTTGGCTTTGTTCGGCTGGCTGAAAAAATATCTGATGCTAATTTATTGTGAGAGAAAAATACTATTATTTCGCTGAAACGATACGACTGATAAGTTGAAGCGAACATGGCCTCTGTTTAGAAGAAGTACCACGAAATCATTCAGATCAATATTAGTTTTAGGGTGTTTTGGGACGCTGCCACAAACTCTGTCCATTAGAAGAAGTTTGTGGAGTACTCTTTTAGGTGCTCTCACAACCACCATTTTTCCCGAAGCAATCATTCAGATCAATATTAGTTTTAGTAGCAGCAGGCCAATGCGGAGCGCCACGACGGGGCCGTACCGCTCCAAGAGGCGCCGCAGCAGGGGCTCGATGTTGGCGGGAGAGTTGGTGAGCCACACCACGCTGACGAGCCCCGAAGCTCCCGCCGAACGGTGCCGACGCGCGCGCGCGTATCGGTTCCCGCACGTGGGTTTTGTCAGCAGCTGGAGCAGCGCATCTTCAATAGACGATTGTACGAGCGGCCCACTACCGAGTGCGCGGCCCAGCCAGCAAGTCTCGCGACTCACGCCCAGGCAGGTTCGTACGTGTTTCTTATTATATATTTCTTTCTCATTTTTCTTTTCATTTTCTTTTGCTGTGATTTTGCTTTCTCTTTTTTATTTTCTTATTATTTTTTTATCTTGGTTTATTTCCTGTTTTTATCTAATTATGTTTTTTTCATTCATGTTTTTTTTGTCGATGTGTTGCTGCGAGCCATAGAAGAAAGGCACGTTGCACTAAATACTAGAACTAGCAGCCTACACTCACGTGAGATATTCTTTTGTTTTTATTTTTCTTTCCTTTGTTCTTATTCTTTTTTCCTTCTCTCTTTCTTTGTATTTTTTTATTCTTTTCTTTTTCCTTATCCTTTTCAGTTTGCTTTTTCTTCCTCATTAGTTTATTGTTATTAGCTATTTTAATTATTTTTTCTTTTTATGCTCTATTTTTTCTTTATTTTTGTGAGGTACATGTGACGTTCGTGTAGTATTCATGTAATATTTTATTATGTGTTTTTAAATGTTCACATAATATAAATGAAATGCTATATGATTATCTTTGTGTATTTATATAATACTCATGAGATGTTCTGTAGTATATTTTAGGTTGTTGAAATAGTATCCATGTGACTTTTTTATTTTGATCTATTCCATGCTTTTTTTCTTATTATTATTTCTATTTTTCTCTCATGTTGTTGTGATATTTCTATTTCTATGTTATATGAGATACAAGTTAAGTTCGATAGTGTGATCTCAATTTCCTTTTTCTTTCTTATTTAAATTATTCATTCATTTTTTTGTATAGTTTATCATTTGTTGTATGTGCATGTTTATTTTTTTTGTTAATTTACTCTAGTTAATTAATTTAATAATTTTGTTTTTTTTACTTTTTTACTTATTATATTATATGAGATACATGTGATGTTTCTATGATATATTGTGGGATATTTATATAGTATATGTGATGTTTTATGATGTATTTTTTGATGTTGATGTAGTATACATATAGTGTTCTATGATGTATTATGTTATGTTTTCGTGATGTATTGTGTGTTCACGTAGTATACTGTGATATTCTATTATGTATTCTGTGATGTTCAGCTCGTATACATATGATGTTCTATGATATATTTTATGATGTTCACGTGGTATACACGTGATGTTCTATGATGTATTTCGTGATATTCATGTAGTATACATGTGATGTTCTATCATGTTTTTATATTCATGTGTTATACATGTGATGTCCCGTGATATATTTTTGTGATGTTCACGTAATATACATATGGTGTTCACGTAGTATACATACTATGATATATCCAGTAATGTTCACATAGTATATATGTGATGCTCTATGATATATTTTTGCGATGTTCAGTGGTGTTCATGTAAATGTTATATATATTTATAATGTTCATGTACTATGCATGAGATGCTCCACGTATTCTAGGATGTTCATATATTATAAATGCATGTTTCACGATTATCATCAAGTTACATGAGATGTTCTATGGTATATTTTAAATTATTTAAATTTAAATAATATTTTTTAATTAACCTTTATTACGTGGATTTTTCTTTTCCCTTGTGATTTTTGTTCTATGCTTTTGTTATGTTATTTTTTTCATGTGATGCTTTTGTCCGTTGCATCACGTATCAAAATAGTTTAACTTGCAAGAATTCTAGAAGTTGGTTTATTTTTTTATTTATTTTCTATATATTTCATAACTCTTGTTGCTTTCTTATAGATATTATAATACTATGCTAGTTGTGGAAACATATAATTTGTTATATTAGATCTGGAACGTTGTTCTCCTAAACCAAGAATATTTTTTTTGTGAAGGCGGAACATTGTTTTGTCAACCTAGGACATCGTCTGAGCTTAAAAAATGTTCTATCTTCATGTGAAAAGTCATCGTTAAATTTTTTTATCTAAATATATCCATGTGAGGTCTTGTTTCGAAGGATTTAATGCAAGAAACATGATGGTGTAATCAGAATTTAATTTGGATGCTCAGCTTAACCGTTATAGATTTTTTAGTTTCTTTTGACCTATGACATCAGCAACATGCAGATTGGTACTACCCTGTTTGCTTGATTGTTTTTGTGGCTTATAAGCCAGTTGACGTTGTTTTGTTATAAGAGAAAAATAATGTATCATACCTGATAAGCATGATTGATACAATGGAGCGAACAAAGTGAGCTTGCTTTGTGGGTGGTTCGTGAGTCCAGAAGTATATTTATCTATGGCCCACTGCGTTGAACAACCACGGACAAAATAATTGCATTATTACTTAGCTCGTTGTCATAAATTGCCGGCACGTTGGTGGGAGAATAATGGCATGATCTGCATGCCCTGTGAAAATTGCGCACGCTGGCCGGTGGGCGGTTGGACGAATGTTTTGCATCTGATGGCCAGACGCTAGCACTCCCCGAGCGCGGCGGGGAGGAGGAACGTTGTCTCTCTCTCGATGACTCTCTCAACGACTCGAGAACACAACAGCTCAACATGTTTTAGAGACACACAGAGCATACGCTCTAATACTTAGCATACGTTAGAGCCCCCATCACTCTCGGCCACTCGGTTCAGAGTTTGACCGGACATCTAACACCCTCTTCTCATTTCTATTTATTTGTAACCCCACAACAAATTTCGAGCACCTGGGTTCAGGAATAAAGCCATCGATCGACTAGAATTGGACGTAGGGCACGTTGCCTGAACCCATATAAATCTTGTGTCATTGAGTGCTAGGCAACATCCGATCATAATGTATGGCAAAACTACAAATATTTAGTTGTTGGTCACTTTTCGCACCGACAGTTGGCGTCGTCCCTGGGCAAGACGCCGTGCGTTCACGCTTTTGGTCATCGGATGGCCCACCTTTCCACCATGTTCGGCATGGCGGGCTCAAGTGATACGATTTGCTTCAGCTCGCTGGATTTCCCACGCTCCCATCTGTTGGGATGTGGGTTCCTCCTGTCTTTGAGACGTTCTAGACCTTCCTCTTTGGAAGTCTGGACTTCATCGCCGACCAGCTCGACGTACTCTGCCTCCGCGAGGAGGCGCTCGTCCCGGCATCCACTGGAGGAGGAGCGCCCTCCATCGGTCCTGGACCACTCGACGACCTCAATGTCGAGACACTCGCGCTTCGCCTCGAGCCCATGCTGGGCTTGAACCCCATGGTAAGTGATGTACATATTGTTTTTTACTCACTATTTAATACCTTTTGCCGACTCTCCTGAGGGACCTCGTTGTCCTCACCACGACTGTCGTACGACCGGTTCCCCTATGGCTTTGCATCCTCCATGGATGCATGTGCACAGGGGCTCCAAAGGATGTTGACGCTGCCCCCTCTCACATCTGAGTTTGTGGGGATGGCGGGCTACACTCTCGCCTCCTTCCACGACCTCATCGATGACGAGGTCGAAAGCGATGGCTCCAGCATCGGTGATGTCATGGCACTTGGCCACCCTCTGTGCCAAGAATGCGCTATGGCGGACGCCTCAGGACATCCACCGGTGGTAGTATAGTCTGTGCAGACTCACACCCCTCTAGACCCCCATGCGAAGGCCCTGGCGTGTGCACAGGAGCACGGCGATGAGTTATGACAAAGGCG